GAGAACAAAACCTCGACACTGGGCTACAACCTGGTATCAATGAGAAAATAAAACCTCGACATTGGGCTACAACCTGGTATCAGTGAGAGAACAAAACCCCGACACTGGTCTACAACCTGGTATCAGTGAGAGAACAAAACCTCGACACTGGGCTACAACCTGGTATCAATGAGAGAAGAAAACCTCGACACTGGGCTACAACCTGGTATCAGTGAGAGAACAAAACCTCGACACTGGGCTGCAACCTGGTATCAATGAGAAAACAAAACCTCGACACTGGGCTGAAACCTGGTATCAATGAGAGAACAAAACCTCGACACTGGTCTACAACCTGGTATCAGTGAGAGAACAAAACCTCGACACTGGGCTACAACCTGGTATCAGTGAGAGAACAAAACCTCGACACTGGGCTGCAACCTGGTATCAATGAGAAAACAAAACCTCGACACTGGGCTGCAACCTGGTATCAATGAGAGAACAAAACCTCGACACTGGGCTACAACCTGGTATCAATGAGAGAACAAAACCTTGACACTGGGCTACAACCTGGTATCAGTGAGAGAACAAAACCTCGACACTGGGCTGCAACCTGGTATCAATGAGAGAACAAAACCTCGACACTGGGCTACAACCTGGTATCAGTGAGAAAAAAAAAAGGAGAAAAATACAATTTGAAAACTGTTAGTAGCATATCCCTTAGATAATGTCGCCAACCAACACCAGCCTCTGATAGTCGTTTGTGGTTTTACTGGGCAATATTATGTTCAGTAGTTTGCCATTGTTCCACTCTCATACCGTAGTCGAAGTAAACGCAAAACGTTATTTCCCCATACTGCGTGCAGCTGACCTCGTACCCTTATATCCCGGGATTTTGAAACGTGAGTTCATAACTCTTTAGCTACAAGCACGTCGTAAAGGACAGGAAACAATGTATATCTATGGAGCTCTCTTTAAACAAAGAAACAAATGCACTTCCTTTAATGCCTGTATTATACACCCACAGACTGTCACGAGATTTACCAAGCTGGCTTCAGGGTGAGCTCTGTCTACCACATCTTGCCAGACGGAGCTCGGTACATGATACCTGTCTACTGTGAGATGATTAACAATACAGGGTGCGTATGCTACCACACTTAACCATCCGCTCTTCTCCCTTGTTATTCTGTACGAATTGTAGAATGGATTAATTTTAAGGCAAGTGGTTTAGTGCTGTGACGACTGGATCAGTACAGTGACGACTGGTTTCAGTATTTAGGTCTGTCTCCTTTGATCGCATGAACATTGCAGAAGTCATTTTCAGGGTTCTTGGCGGCATGCAATGCTAAGCCATGTTATATGGCACACATAAACCTAGTGACAGTTATAAATAACCTGAGGTTCTTCCTTCGGGGATGCTCGTTAAACGTGACGATTTTTCTCTCTCTAGAAAAGCACCTACCGAGCACATTAGGAATCTTGTATTAAGCACTATTGCTCTATCAGGAGGAGTGGCTAGTGCTATGCTTAGTACTGTGATGTGTGGTTTAGTCCTATGATGTGTGGTTTAGTCCTATGATGTGTGGTTTAGTCCTATGATGTGTGGTTTAGTCCTATGATGTGTGGTTTAATCCTATGATGTGTGGTTTAGTCCTATGATGTGTGGTTTAATCCTATGATGTGTGGTTTTAGTCCTATGATGTGTGGTTTAGTCCTATGATGTGTGGTTTAGTCCTATGATGTGTGGTTTAGTCCTATGATGTGTGGTTTAGTCCTATGACGTGTGGTTTAGTCCTTTGATGTGTGGTTTAGTCCTATGATGTATGGTTTAGTCCTAGTACGTGTGGTCTAGTGGTGCAGTGTTTTAGCAAGTAGCTTATTCCTTGAGTTTTCTTGTGCGAAACCTTTTAAGAAATAGTAATAAAATCGCCTGTAATGACAACATCAAATACTATTCTAGTGTAGCCTTTTGTTGCTGTCTGGTAATGATATGGGGTATGGTGGGATGTACGCCATTTTTCACAAGCCATCAATAATTCCTTAGTCCTGAGAAGTAAAGGCGGCCGGTGATATTCTGACCACATCAGCCACCAAGTGCCGATAGGTCTATAAAATACAGGTCTAACCCTATATGCCCAATTCGCTTAAAGGCGTGGAAAATGGTATTTTTTGACTAAATTTGTTTAGCTTTCAATTTGTATAGTGCTTTAAAAATTGTATATTTTACAATTACCGAGTAGTTTACAAACTATACACGATTTGTAGATTCAGACATCATCAACCAACAGCCGTCGGTCATGATTTCCTTGTCTACTTAAACTGAAAATAATCAAGCGCAGAATGCAAACAGCAACAATTCACACGAGTGCATATATCTTAGGGCAATGAACTAAACAAGTTTATAATTATCTGCATAGAACACAAGGAAAAAGCAATAATGCCCCCCCCCCCCCACCCCACCTCCCGAAATGGAATTGACATAAGAACTAGTTTATAACGACACTATTCATTTACCGTTGTATACTTACCATTATTTGTGAATCAGGAAATAAATGTCCATTTATCTTGGCCCGCAGTGTGCACATTAGAATGTTACTGCTATGGTGTCAGAGAGATAAACATCCCTTATTATCCTCAGTTTCAGAACGGGTGTCGGTTCTGTGGCTAAGTCGATGCGAACACTTTGTAATGCAGGGATGCCGGGTTCGATCCCAACTGCGGGCCATGCGCCTTTCGTTGGTTTCGACAGAGGTATCAAGAAAGCCGACCGTCCAGAGGGCATTTGTAAACTACTGGACGTAAATTTGCCTAGAAAAACCACACAACAGCCAGGGGCTGTTGGGGTTGGTTCTGCAACGTCCTGTAAAGGATACGCAACTAAAGGTTCAGAACGAATAGACACAAGGAGCTGTTCATCGCGACTGCGAAACCAATCAGCTTATCACAATCCTGAACAAAACGATCAGATTTGCTAAGGGCGATTTTTAAACAGAAAACGCCATTTAGACTAATTAATCTGTACAAAGAAACTCGCAGCGCATTGATCAGTTTACCATTTGTTAGTAACGTAGTGATTAGGACAAAACAAGCTCCGTTACTTTCTTCACACGCACACATTCTCTCTCTCCCTCTCTCTCTCTCTCTCTCTCTCTCTCTCTCTCTCTCTCTCTCTCATGTTCACACGCATATACGCGCTCGTGCACACACATGGTAGGGGAACAAAGGAGATTAATAAAGACTTTTTCGTATCACCAGGTATAGTGAGTATATGGTAAAACACCAGTATTTTAAGACAAATTAAACTGGATGAATTGTGTGGTCAGCGCATCAGACTTTACATCCCATGCAATGTCCTTGTAATCATTTTATGCTGGTTTCAGTTTCTATGGACTAAATTTGTTTCACAATATCTTTGCCTTGGCGAGGGTTCAAATATGTCATAGCGGCCAGGCAACCAGACAGCCAGGCAAGTCGAAATGATAACAGCGTTTCCGGTACATTAGGTTAAATGGTTTTTCTAACAGAACAGCCTTTATTTGTTACTCTTTCGTACCGCAACACTCGTAATCGCATGTGTTGAACATGATCATGTCATAGTTATGTTATAAGTACTAACAAACAAATAGAGCACTTGCTTATCGTCAAATGATCTGTCATCATCATCATGTAGCAGGTCCTTTGCAGAACGTCACTCTCATCACGGTCTGTCTGAAATAAACTTGGTCTCTCGTCAGCTCTGCCGCCTCATGTACTTCCATATTCAAAAAGTCCCTTATTTCTATGCCATCTTCGTGTTAGTCGGCTCCTGCCCCTACCTTCGTGGTACCATGCCTTCTGCTAATATTGTGTTTTCCAATCCGTCGTGGCGCTTGATATGACCAAAATTATTTCAGCTTCCGAGACAAGATGCTGTTTATAAGACAATCTTCATTGATGTTTAGAACAAATGATCTATAGGTTCTGTTTTTGACCGTTGAGAAAATGGTCGCGTTGATTAAAAATTGGTCCACACCTTACGCAGAAACACCATTCCCAACCTCCCTTCTTTTGGTGGTTGGTCAAAATCTGAAGTGCCCACTACAAACACACCTTCTGATATGGCAGTTTCTTACGAATAACTTTTTCAGCGGTGCAAACTGACACATGGAATTCTTTGGCTAGCGAACGTATGCTTCATCTGTATTGCACCAATTCTGGCGATGGTTTTTCTGTTGCAACAATATGCTCATGACACGGCTATGGAAGAACTCCCGTCCTTGTCGAAACAGTTATGCCCAGTCTGTCACAACTATCATGCTGACACATTTGTTACCTTACACTGCCTACATCCTTCAATGAATGCTCATTGGTAGACATTCTTCAATGAATGCTCATTGGTAGACATCCTTCAATGAATGCTCATTGGTAGACATCCTTCAATGAATGCTCATTGGTAGACATCCTTCAACAAAGTAAAGGAACTTCCTGCTCTTTAAGCATCTTGGGCGAATTGAGGATAATCTTTCTCTCTTCTATCCTTTCCCCTTCTTGTTCTTCTAGTTCTTGTTATTGTTCTTCTTTTACTTCAGGGAAATCACACTTGTCAAAAAAGCTCAATTAAAGAATGTTTATAATATAATATAGCCCGGCTACAAGATAGACAAACAAACAACAATTATATGGGGGGTATAGACAAGCAAACAATAATTATCTGGAGGTAAGCAATAGACATTTTGGTTAAATATCTCATAAATAATCTACAAAGTTTTCATGAGTAGTACAATTATAATTCTACTACAACATTTAGGGAACACCCATATACAGGTTCGCGTCAGCACAAGATGTATGATGATGATCACTAACAAAATGGGCCAAAGTCCACTGGACATGATGGTTCCAGGGCTGAGGTAAAACAGCTGGCATGTAACTGCTACATGACTTGAGTTTACGTGAGCATGAAAGCCAGCGGCTCAAATGACACAACTGATGAAAAAGTTTAAAGTTAAAAATTACACTCTACAGTAAACTAAACAGTACTACAACTAATGCGATGCACGCCACTTTTCAGGTACACTCTTATCCAGAGACGAATCGACGGCACCATCAACTTCAACAGGCGATGGTCGGAGTATCAGCATGGCTTTGGAAACCCTTACGGAGAACAATGGCTCGGCAATGATCTGATTCATCTACTGACTAAGCAGGTGAGGCGATGCCCACGTCACACTATTGATTGGTACCTATTATGTTCCGAGCACTTCACCAGATGGTGATATGAAACTCCATGATGGAGTGTTTGTTCTCAACTCACTGCCATCATAGAAAGCCATTTACATCATCTGTCTGGTGTCTCATCATCAGGTTTAAGTGTTTTTGTATCTTTTCATAGATCTTGCTCCTTGATGTTTCCTTCTGAAACCATCTTAGACTACCCAGCATCGTCTGTCTGTCTGTCTGTCTGTCTGTCTGTCTGTCTGTCTGTCTGTCTGTCTGTCTGTCTGTCTGTCTGTCTGTCTGTCTGTCTGTCTCTCCCTCTCTCTTTCTCTTTCCATCGCTGTGCGAGTGTGTGTGTGTGTGTGTGTGTATGTGTGTGTTTCGCGTAAATCATTGACGACATGACGATGTTTTCCAAAACCTCTCTTCTGATGACAAAACCACAGAACGTCGTATTGTACACTCATTCGAATAGTTGTGTACATAGATGACGAACGAAAAAACGTCTTTACTTTCAAATGGTTGTTAAATATAAAGTACACACTCATCACACCACAGACAAAGTTATAAATGTTATGTTGCTAACTAGAGAATACATAATGTTGACAATATGACAATACTCACTGACTCAGGAACGAAGCAAGTATGGGGAAACCTGATAGCGGTGATGTTGAAATCTCGACCAACAACTAAGCTGACAGTATGATTATGCTTTTTCCACAGAAACAGTACACACTTCGCATTGATTTCTGGGACTGGGAGGGAGAACAGTATTATGCCGAGTATTCCAGATTCTATGTATGTAAGAACGTCATGTTTGTCACTGTAGACAAGTGTTCAAGTGGCAAATTGTTTTGTGTATGAGAGGAAAAAAAATTTGGTTGGGGAACGATAAATATATATATTATATATATATATATATATATATTATATATATATATAATATATATATATATATATATATATATATATATATATATAGACAATATTATATAATATATATATTGATATACTAATATATATATATATACATATATATATATATATATATATATATACTCAGCTGTACCCGGCCACGCGTTGCTGTGGCATAGTTTGGCTAAATGGAAATGAAAGAAAATAGAAAACGCACGTGTCTAATACAATCATTGTCTGCTCAGATATAGAGATAGTCTTTGAAAAAAAAAAACAGAAAATAGAAATCGTGTTAAATATGGTTATTGTGGCAAATATAGAGATAGTCTTGTTTGCTGTACCTAGACATACTCTATGTATTAGAGAAGGCGTTGGCTGCACGTAACTCGCCGGCGAATGGCGGAAGCCTTGCGTTCTGACTACGGCGGCGCATGCGCAATTACTAACGTGGCTATAATTAGAAATCACTAAAGTTATAAATATTAGTTGCGTATATTATTGCATAAATTGTGGTCACCTATCTCTAACAGTGACAGTTTGAATTTTAAACCACGACAGTTCAAAATCCGGTATCACAACAAACATAACCTGAAAATTTCAGCTAAATCAGTTCAGTAGTTTCCGAGTCTATAGGGGTGAAACAAACACACAAACATTGATTTATATATATATATATAGACAGACCGAACAAACGAACGAACATTATTTTCAAAGGGTTACAAATTGGGCATGCAGGCCCGTCCTACATTCGGCCCTTCTAAACAGTCATCTTTCAGACCACTATTGCATGTTATAAATAATGTTAATGTTTACAATAATGCATGTTATGTCTATATAGAAACATACATAAATACAAAGAAATAATGCATACACACATCATATACACACAGTCATACTCAAAAATACCCACGAACACATTGTCTTTATTGCTCAAACACAAACACACTCATAGGCCTATGCATACACACTGACATTCAATTATAATCATAAATGCACACCTACTCATACACATACCCACACCCATAAACATACATACATAAATGTATACACACACCAACATACATGCATACATACATACACACACCACACACAGAGACAGACAGACGGACGGACAGACTGACAGACAGACAGAGAGGGGATGCTTCCTTCAGGTAACACTTTTATTGTTGGTCTCCCTTGATAAATGTGAAGTGTACGGGTGATGATGTTCACACTCAGTTCTTCAGTTTCAATAATATCCAACAAATCTTGTTTTCTTTTAGTGCTCTATATCATATCCTCCATCGATTCCATATAACTTCCTTCTTCATTTGGGAGCTGCATTAACCACGCGGCCTTAAAAACTTCAGGCTCATCCCGTCCCCTTTTTTCCCCCCAAACCACCCAAAAAGATGGCAAATACAAGCAGTTGCGATAGTCACACAGAGCCTCTCCTCTGTTTCGCATGGTTCAGAACTGCTATCGGTTCACCGAATGAACTTGTACACCTGTATTTTATCTAGAGTTTAACTATTACGCCCAACCAACCTGGCATTCTCTTCACGTTTCTATGTTACCCACCAGGTGGACGGAGCAAAAGAGCATTACAAGCTGACCATTGGCGAGTTCACCGGCAACGCTGGAGACTCGTTCGCCTACCACAACAAAATGGCTTTTAGCACTGAAGATATGGACAACGACTTACACGAGCGCCACTGTGCGGCAGAGAACAAGGTACGGTTACTTACATTGATTGGGGAGCCACGGTAGCTCAGTGGCTAGACGTTCAACGCGATAACATGAAGGTCTTGTGTTAGAATCTGCACGGAGACAGGTCTTACAAATTGGCCTGGAGGTCGATCAAGGCTGAGATGGGCCTCCGGAATGTCATGGGAAGCTAAGGCGCTCACGATGCTATCCAGTGAGTGCAGATTGGTATATACACATATGAGGCTAACACCATATAGTGATGCACCAATGGCTTGAACAGGGTCGTTTCCTTTCTGTTGCTAATGCAAAACATCATCACCACTACTACCACCACCACCATCATCATCATCATCAAATCACCATCATCAAGTAGCAGGATCTTCGCAAAAATCGCTGTCATCACACTCTGCCTAAAAGAAACTCAGTATCTCGTCAGCTCTTTCGCAGACATGATGGGGTGTGTGTGTGTGTGTGTGTGGGGGGGGGGGGGGGAATTAAGAGATTTGCAACGCAGTTCCCAACAGGATAGTACTTTGGTCAAGAGAAATGTATCAGCTTGGTTGTCAATCCCTGGAACTGATGCTCAACATGTCTGAGACCTGAAAAGACCCATATCTACTGGATTCAGGTTGCTGTAATGTCTCTCTTACTGGGATCTCCTTAGTACTTCTCACACACTGGCTGTTGTTTAGAGGCAGCGTTCACAGGTCAGACCGGTCAGATTTATCTTTTAATCCACCACCGCCCGTCTCCAAATGTCGAAAGCTGATTACAGTTTTATATTTATTAGCAATAACACGTAAGCTACGAGAATCCATTACCAGTCTACTATCAACTTTACAGCCTAACACTGACGTCATCCACGCAGGGTTCACGTGTTCGCACTTTGAGCATACAGCCTTGACGCTGACATTGACATACAGACGACTGACTCAACTACCAGTCAGTAGGACACCTCTACTGTGCTTCTTTCAGTTGTACTTCAACATCACTTCGATACAAACTATCTTCGACGTTTACTCCTCCTCTGGGTCCACTTTCACTCCTTCTTGTTCTGGGTCTGCATTCACCCCTTCTCGCTCTGGGGTCCTGTCACACAATAACTCGCTGGCCAGCTCTTCCCCCAGCTATCTCGTTCCCCCAGCTATCTAGGGATTTCCCCCATTCTATCAACCAATCAAACCCCTTAAATAAGTCCTATACTCAGTATCACTATATTTGTGAAGGAATACCCCCCCCCCCCCCGGTCCAGAAATTGTGCTGCAAACCTTTTCCTCCCCTCAGCGAACTCAGAAACCAAATATCTACACAGAAACATGGCTGTCTTTGCAATTCTGCTCACACTGGAGACCTTGTATTTGGATTGGCAGCGTCAAGAAGAGCGACCTAAAGGTCTTGACCAGTGAGAAACCTTGACCATCCGCCAATCTTGGTCATTACATGCACTAATTTGAATGCAAATGTCCCCAGTGGGTTCTGAGGCCTTATTGTGATGGTAGGGGAAAATTGACCCAATGTTCCCTAACAAGCATGTCGTTAATGGCGACTAGCTGGGGATATTTCCTTTAAAGTCAGACTGTCTCTGCCTGGAAGTGAGAGAATTAACAGTCTGCACAAAAATAAGGCAGATCTGTAAAGTGGATGTGCAGTCAAAAATGAAGTTATGGAACAAGACTTAAAGTTCAGAAGCGGACAAACATCCTGAAATTTCCGCCGGAGTCTGCAGCTGGTGCCTGCTAACCAGAAGAAGAAGAAAAAGAAGAAGAATAAGAAGAAGGAGAACAAGAAGAAGTAGGAGAACACGAATAAGAAGAAGAAGAAGAAGAGGACAAATTTCAAACTTCAGGTAGAGATGCAGATGATTAGAAACCCATGTGGTGGTGCACGGACCAGGGCTCATTCTACGAGCAGAAGGGACATCAAATCACCGATTCAAAGGTTACAGCTGACTTAACTGTTCCAGTTTTTATCCCATTTGGTACTGTCTCTCTCAGCGGAACCGCTAGTCACATGAACACTGAAGCTCCGGCGAAGATCTCAGCGGTTCGGTAAAAACTGCACTTTGCAACGGTGAAATGAACCCTCTACCTTCAAGGCTTTCCCACCTCACCACTGCAAATACCTATGCAATTGTAAATTGTTTAGGCTACAACTTAGATTGGGTTGCTTTACCGTACAGGAAGAAACCTGTGATTTATCCCAGAAGCACGGTAATATGGAGTATTACGTGCTGCAGTGTGAGAACAATGCACTCCAAAGAAAACCATTAACTCACAACATGAATGACCTATGACGATGGAAAACTTTTATTTAACAGAACAATAGCATCAGCAAAATCGATATCTTCGAACTGTGAGTGTTATCCACCGTGTCAATGCCAGTGTTTTCAATACATTATTTTCCTCCTCCAGTCGGGGCTTATTGAGAGGGGAAAAAAAACAAGAAAAACCAAAGGAGATGAAATGCATACCTGTGTTACTCCAGTTTCAACTTCAAACCAACACAGGAATCATATTCAGTTTGCACTGCACACTGAGCAATTTATTACTATACTAAAATCCCTGCATAGAATAGTAAGAATTGCCCATGCCATCTTTAAAGATAAGATCGGGGATGAGTGATCTTGAGGTATGGCGTCCGTCCGGAGTGCTGGAGGTCAAATCCCGGTGAAGGGTGGGATTTTTTCATGTGGACTTCAAGTAATTTCCTCTGGCTTCGGGACCAGGACTCAGTCTTAAAATCTACCCAAAGTATTTAAGGATCCTCTCCGGCGCAACGGAGTTCGTACAATGCGCTGAGATTCTTCAGACTCAGGACACCCATATGTCATTATCCGTAGAATAAACATTAACAGGAAGATAATATTCCTAAAGATAAAATCGAGAATAAGCAACAATTAAACGAATTCACAATTTCTATGTTAATCACAACCCAAAAAGGTTTGAACAAGACACTAATTTGAACAGTATTTTAAATTACACAAGTAAAGGGCCATTTTCCACATGTTCAGTCGTATTGGGCAAACAGGGCTAGACTTATACTTTATAGACTAAACGGCATTGGTGGATGATGTGGTCAGCATCACGCCGGCCGCCTTTACTTACCAGGACTATACCTGGTACCCACTCAAGGCTGGATTAACTTTTGAGCCAAAGTCATTTAAAAAAAAAAAAAGAAGTCCCGCTCCGCCAGGAGCCGAACCAACGACCTTCAGATCCGCAGACGAGCGTCTAGCCGATACACCACGGTGACTCCAAATGCAAATTACAATAATTTCTTAAATAAATAATGACGCGATACATAAAATAACAAATTCTTCGTGTGGGTTCTGGGATTCCATTGCAGAGAAAACAAGAATAAACCCACTGCCTACCCAAAAGCATGTCGTAAGAGTCGACTAATTGGGAGCTTCCTTTGAAGCCGGAGTGCATCTGCCTGAGGGGCAAATAACCAACAGTCTGCATTTAAGTGAATCAGATCTGTAAAACTGATGCACATGCAACACTCAGGTTCTGGAACAAGGCTGCAGTCCAGAAGTGGATGAACAACCAAAACTTTCCGCCAGAGTGTACAGCTGGCGAACGCAAAAAAGAAGAAGAATAACAAATGTATGCTCAAAGAACCTAATGAACACTTTATACCAATTATAACCCAGAAGGTTGAACGGGATATCTTGTGAAAATGACTACTACTACTCGTACTGGCCACACTCAAGATCTTCTCAGGTATATAAATTATAGAAGGCCTTGATCTTCACCACTTTGTGGTCGTCATAGAAATAGATGCTCTAGTGAGGGTGGGAGTTGGGGGGGGGGGGGGTAGGGGACAGACCAATAAAGATAAGGTCGAGGTTGCAATACAAATAAGGAACCAACAGTCTGCTTACAAGAATCCAGATTTGTAAAACGGATGTGTAAGCAACACTCAAGTTCTGGAACTAGACCAAAGTCCAGAAGCTGATAAGCAGCCAGGACTTTCTGCGTAGGTTTACAGCAGATGAGCGACCAGGACTTTCTGTGTAGGTTTACAGCAGTTAAGCGACCAGGACTTTCTGCGTAGGTTTACAGCAGATGAGCGACCAGGACTTTCTGCGTAGGTTTACAGCAGTTAAGCGACCAGGACTTTCTGCGTAGGTTTACAGCAGATGAGCGACCAGGACTTTCTGCGTAGGTTTACAGCAGTTGAGCGACCAGGACTTTCTGTGTAGGTTTACAGCAGTTGAGCGACCAGGACTTTCTGCGTAGGTTTACAGCGAATGAACAAGAAGAAGAGGAAGAAACCAGACTAGGTCAAACTTCCAGCACTTTTACTTAGTCTGCTCTTGTTTTGGTCCTCCACAGGCAGGCTGGTGGTACAACAGCTGTTTCTACAGCCAGCTCAATGGCATCTACCACACAGCCTGGTACTCACAGAGCCAGTCCAACTACCCTGACGGCATTGTCTGGTTCACGCTGAAGGACAATGAGTTCTACTCTCTGAGAAAAGTGGAGATGAAGCTGAAGCCCAATAAATCTGCAGGATGATTTCTACACAGGTACACTCTAGTGATGGTGTACCTGTTTGAGGTTCTGCTGACTGACTTCTACAATCCACACCTGTAAAGTAATCACACACATCCACACCACACCTCACCCACACTCTAGTGATGGTGTACCTGTTTGAGGTTCTGCTGACTGACTTCTACAATCCACACCTGTAAAGTAATCACACACATCCACACCACACCTCACCCACACTCTAGTGATGGTGTACCTGTTTGAGGTTCTGCTGACTGACTTCTACAATCCACATCTGTAAAGTAATCACACACATCCACACCACACCTCACCCACACTCTAGTGATGGTGTACCTGTTTAAGGTTTTGCTGAGTTCTACAATCCACTTCTGTAAGGTAACCACATACATCCACACCACACTCTAGTGATGGTGTACTTGTTTGATGTTCTGCTGACTAAATTCTACAATCCACATCTGTAATCACACACATCCACACCACGCCTCACCCACACTCTAGTGATGGTGTACTTGTTTGATGTTCTGCTGACTAAATTCTACAATCCACATCTATAAAGTAACCCCCTCACATCCACTCTATTCCTCTCCCACACTCTAGTGATAGTGTACTTGTTTTAAGTTCTGTGAAGTTCTACAATCCACATCTATAAAATAACCACAACCATTTCCTCCACCTCTCTCTTATTCACATTAAAAAATATTCATTCAATTCCATAAACAGGGTGTCCCAAAAGTATTATACGCATTTCTATTTGTCAACAAGAGGAAGGATCTCTCAGTGCCATAATCATGTAAGAACATTTTTGATGAAATGTCTGCCAACTGATAGATTGGAAGAAGAGGTATCTCTTGATTTTCTCTGTGCATAGCAGACCTTACACCTCTGAGCCTTTTTGTGTGCATCATGATACATCAAAGATAAGGCTGATAGCACACAATCTGTAAAGTCTTGACCTGAGAGCAACGACTGAAAGAGAATTCACCCAAATACTAACTGAAATTCTGTGCAATGTTTGCAGCTGTATCCATGGATGTTACAAGCAGTGTCATGAACAGAACAGCTATCAGTTGGAGTACGTACAATCAATCTGCTGCCATTATCTCCATGCCAGCTTCTGTCAAGATGTCTTGCTGCACTTATGGGCTACTTCACCACTGACCCGCATTAAGCGGACTCTTTCTCTATGTTTGTTTTGATCTTTAGTTTGTCTCTTTGAAAACTAATCTGTGCATTTTCAAAGCGTGACTGACACAATTTGGTGCACCAGAGACAATGTTGAGATGATAACTTTTTCTAGAGGAGTTGTAGCAAACAGTTCATTGGCCAGACATGTTCCTATCATTGAATATAATGGAAGAATCAAAGACCTTCTATTCTATAATCAACACATTCAAAAGATCTCTTTAATACAGGCTTCTGGTTAGCTGTTTTCTATGCTAGTGTAAACCTGTTGAATCACCCTGTTGTCCTCACTTGATTGGTCACAACCTCTCAAACATCATGACTACAACAGCCTGGCATCATGAGCCTTCAGCTTGTGTTTTCAAGTGCTACAATGAAAGGTTGTTCATAAATTCCATGTTTGTTTCAATTTTTTATTTTCAAGTTTCACAAGTGTCATTGTAGTTTTAGTTATATGTATATACATTTACTATATTCAGGTTATAACTGTTTCATGTTTTTCTAATTAATCAATTTTCATATTACAGTTTAACAAACAAACAAAAACTAGACACTTGCCTGTTATCCTCATAGCCCTAGGTTCAAATTTACATCAGTCTTTTTTTGTTTTTTGTAAACTGACCTTGGCTCCAAGGTTGACCAACCCTAAATGGTAGCATGTAATTAATGTACCGGGAAGTTAAAGTCAAGACGATCGACTTTATTGCATCAGATTTTAATGTGTATGGCTCAGTCTCTCTCTCTACACAGTAGCCTGGTCATCTGTCGAGAACACTGCACAGATTCCACAGCTTCAGCGATGATCCCCAGGTATCTCTGGTAAAACTGTTCTTGTGGTCTGAAAAATGCAGCCATGAAATGAACCCACGACCTTCAGAGAGTAAGGCAAATGACTTTGTCAAGGAGATTTCTTCCTGGGAGGTAAAGGCAGCTGGGGTGATGTTGACCACATCACTCAAGTGTTGACTGGACTATAAAAATATGCTTCTAGCATCATATGTCTGATGTGCCACTAGAATAATAAATATAGGTTGACTTTTTGTCCAGTAAGCCAAGGGTGTGACAAGGTCATTTACTATATACATTGACTGTATGTCCAGTAAGCCAAGGGTGTGACAAGGCCATTATACTTGACTGTATAAGGGTTGACTATATATGTCCAGTAAGTCCAGTAAGCCAAGGGTGTGACAAGGCCATTTACTATATACGTTGACTGTATGTCCAGTAAGCCAAGGGTGTGACAAGGCCATTTACTATATACGTTGACTGTATGTCCAGTAAGCCAAGGGTGTGACAAGGCCATTTACTATATACGTTGACTGTATGTCCAGTAAGCCAAGGATGTGACAAGGCCATTTACTATATACGTTGACTGTATGTCCAGTAAGCCAAGGGTGTGACAAGGCCATTTACTATATACGTTGACTGTATGTCCAGTAAGCCAAGGGTGTGACAAGGCCATTTACTATATACGTTGACTGTATGTCCAGTAAGCCAAGGATGTGACAAGGTCATTTACTATATACGTTGACTGTATGTCCAGTAAGCCAAGGGTGTGACAAGGCCATTTACTATATACGTTGACTGTATGTCCAGTAAGCCAAGGGTGTGACAAGGCCATTTACTATATACGTTGACTGTATGTCCAGTAAGCCAAGGGTGTGACAAGGCCATTTACTATATACGTTGACTGTATGTCCAGTAAGCCAAGGGTGTGACAAGGCCATTTACTATATACGTTGACTTATGTCCAGTAAGCCAAGGTGTGACAAGGCCAGTTAACGTTGAACTGTATGTCCAGTAAGGGTGTGACAAGGCCATTTACTTGTTTTTTGTATTTAAGCAAACAATGTGTTTTTATATTTATTATAATTATTTGAAAAACGTGAAGCTAAAGTATTTCACTTGCAGTGGGTTCTATGGTTTTTCAATTTGTACAGAATAATTAAGAATATTTCTTGGGCAAATATATTCTAATGCAGAATAACTAAATTTAACTTACTTTTTAATTACATATCTTTCGTTTCATGAAGGATAGCAATCAGTTTGCATTTATTTATTTTATACAAAAAGGATATGTTATCCTTATTTCGCAAATCAATATGGTGGGGGGGGGGGGGGGGGGGGTTGTTGTTATTTCGAATACTCGTTATTTGTGATCTAGTCTTTTTGTGAGATGGACATGACTTTTGTAAAGTGCATTAAAATCATGACCCTAAATGAATCCGGCGAAAAGTGGCATAATTCCATCATTGACCACTGCATGAAACACCAGCAAAATCAGTTGGGGATGCTAATATTATTCTGCATTAACAGCCGAGATCAAGTCCAAGGCATGACGTCTTTGCTTCTATATATCTTTCTTTAAAGCTGTTCAACCACTAAGAAAAGATTGATCTCGATGGAACTGGTGCCTTTTAAATGGTTATGGCCCTGAACCACACACAGAAAATGGCCAACAATTTCTGTCAGTAATAACATACTGGACAGGCCTGGGAATTCACTTCATGGAAGAGACTATGTTAATGATGATGGAGTTTGCTAGACCTTGTTAAGAGCCATTTTAGGCACAGAACCTGGGACATGACTATTTTTAACAGTGCCGTAGTAGAACAATGGATAGTCCTGAAAGTAGATGGGTAGTTGTATCCCACCAGGACATCACACAAGCAATAAACACCTGGGGACACAAAATGCCACCATGCAGATAAGGATCACCTGTGGAGAGGTCCCAGAAACCCCTTTCAGCCGTTAGGCCATATCTATGCCCCGGTTCTATTCAGGGCCCCCGGCAGAAGCCAAAAAATTGCATCCCACATGGGGACGACTTTTAATCTTAACCCTGACGGAATAAAAAGTTGTGCCACTGTAGGGACAGCTAACAGCACTGCTGGTGACTAAATAGTCCAATGCGAGTGTGACACTATCACAGTTGCCTCATCTGTGAGATAAGGAATATCCCGCAGCAAGTGAATACATTTTATACTTGTGCTTCTTGTCCTGTTAGTTTGATCAGACTGCACTCAAACAGCAACATTCTGTTTCATACATTGCTTCTTTGGATAGTGACCAGGAATAACAGCACAGCATTCCAGGCGTAATCCCAAGTTGCAGAGGGATTTTGTTCAGCTGACTGTAACTTAGAATACGTGATGACCTGTTACTTGATCTCCTTATGACAGTATCACAATCACCATTTCTCAACCTAATCATCTTCTGTTTTTGTCATCAAATGTGGGGAGGAGAAGCTGGTTGTTCAGCACTCACTGGGTGACATCAGCTACTGAGATTCTATGTAAATGTGCAATGACTTGAAATGTCATCTATCCATTGTCTTCTAACTGTTGCACTCTTCGCTCTATAAGTGTCTATGGCAGGGTCCTTTCATGCACTGACAACATGAAGTAATAACATAAGAAGGGGAAACGAAGCACTACTCAAAGTGTATTAACTCAACACACAAGAAGAGATTTGTGCTCATCAGAATGCATCAGGCAGAACAACACTGACAATTGCACACCACTCAGTCATATTCTGTTTTCAAATAGACATACAAAAAGAGCATGCTATCTTAGTAATAGATAAATGTGGAAGCATCATGCTATCTCGATAATAGATAACGTGGAAGCAAGCTAGACACACATTAAAATAATTTATAATCATGTACTCAGTTTCACATTCTAACCGTCATTTTGCATTCAAATTGGCTCAAAAAGTGGTTTTCACCATTATTGTTTATTCAGTTCTGATTCACACTGGCTAATGTAGTATTTACCATTAGTGTTAATTCAATTTTACATTCTTGGCTCAGTGGCATTACTCTTGGTGTTCATCCATCCACTGCCTACAAGTGGAAACTGTAACCTATCACCTTCCTTGCATTATCTAAACAACTCCCTGACACTCCAGACTGGAGTCTTTCCTCCCCAGATCTCATGCCTATTTAATGAGGTGGAGTCAATCTGAAAGTGACTAGGGGCAAATACATTCCTATCATTAATGCGCTCTGATGCCAGAAAAGTTGTTGATCAGTCAATGCGTTAAATTTCTAAACTTCTAGTCGTACAACAGTGACAGTCAATGGTCTTTTTCCAAGCCATAATGCATAGTGTATATGATGGCTGCTCCATATTGTGTAGGGAAAAAAGAAGTTGATGAGTGATGATCAGCCAGCCGCCTGTGCTTTCCACATGTTTGCCTCCCCATGATTTGCCTTGGCTTTGTTCAAGTGAAAACCTAGTGCTCCATGTGTGAACATTGACCTCCTCTATTTTTACCCTTAAAAGGGCAACATGTTTATTGGGGTTTACAGCTAGGATGCGACATTCGTAGGTTTCAGCCCAGGACATACAATTTCAGCAAACAATCAGTCACCATTTATGACATGCCTGCTAAGAGGAAGTGGACCTATCCCCCTCCAATCCCATGGGAAGACTAATCACTGCTTCTATGCATGGATAATGAATCACTGTCATATCTCAACCTGTTAATTCTTCTTCTTAAGCATTCCAAGCCCTTGAGGTTTATTGTTGCAGATATCACCTGCCTCCATTCATCTGTCTGGTTGGCCTTCTCTTTCCAGCTGGTGACACAAGTGTTTGCAGGTCTGTCTGGATATTATCTCTACAAAGTCTTCTTGCTCTGCCTTATGGTCTACGGCCATTAATCTTTCTCGTGTATACAGTTTTTACTTCTCTATCATCTGACATTTTTTCAATATGCCCTAACTATTTCAGTCAATTAGCTCTCATGATGCTAGTTATCAGTGGTGATTTAACCAGTTCATGTATTTCGTTGTTGCTTCTCACTCTCTTTGATGGGTCAACATGTTAATTAACCAAAGCAAATTAGAATGTGGCAAACTAGAACTCATACAACTAAAATATAAACAACAAGGCTGTGTGAAATATATGTGAAATGTTTATGTCCTTATATATATATCTCAGTTCTATCTAGTCTAGTCTCCGTAACTAAATGTCACCACATACACCACCAATGTCAGCTGCCATTCACCTCTGACCTCACGTGACATCAAACTAGCTTCAGTACAGGGAAAATTTTGTGCTGTGAAAAGTCAAACTCTGGTGGGTCCTGAGGAATACAATAAAACAGATGTATATTATTCAAACTGTTCCTGGGTCTGCAAGCATTGTCTGTCTTCTGTTAGGCGTTTATTCTAAAATAGAAAAATGTGCAGTTTTTGTACAGTAACCAATAAAGATAACTAGATTTTTGGAGGATAAGTAGAAAATATGCAGACCATATTCCAGTATCCTTAACTAGAAATTTGGTCAATACATTCAAGGTACCATTTAACTCTTTGAGTCCAAAGGAATGCATCTCTCTTTACTACACCTTGTGCCTCTGATGCTCTACCCCTGGACTGAAAGAGTTAACTAGATTTATAAAGAATAAATTATAGTATTATTTAACAAGATATTAGGAGAACAAATATCAAAATTCAACCACCCACCTGAGTATAAACTCCAGTAACAGTTAACTACACTTCTATAGAATAATAATTAGATATATAGAGAATAAATAGCATGAAAGGTGGAATATTATTTCACCCAGTTATGTTATTGATAAGTTTATAAACAAAACAGTCGAATAAGACAGCACGCATTACATAAGCTGCAGATCAAATTTGACATCACTCATTAAACAAGATTTCAGTCAAATATGACAGAACACATCACATAAGCTGTCCGCCGAATATGACAGTACTTATTACATAAGCTGTCTATCAGATACGACAGCAAACATTACATAAGCTATCAGTTGAACATGACAGCACTCACTACATAAGTTGTCCATCAAAATTGACAGCAAACATTAAATAAGCTGTCAGTTGAACATGACAGCACTCACTACATAAGTTGTCCATCAAATTTGACAGCAAACATTAAATAAGCTGTCAGTTGAACATGACAGCACTCACTACATAAGTTGTCCATCAAATTTGACAGCAAACATTAAATAAGCTGTCAGTTGAACATGACAGCACTCACTACATAAGTTGTCCATCAAATTTGACAGCAAACATTAAATAAGCTGTCAGTTGAACATGACAGCACTCACTACATAAGTTGTCCATCAAATTTGACAGCAAACATTAAATAAGCTGTCAGTTGAACATGACAGCACTCACTACATAAGTTGTCCATCAAAACTGACAGCAAACATTAAATAAGCTGTTGAACATGACAGCATATATTACATAAGCTGTCCATCAAATGTGATGACACCAAGCACTACATAAGCTATTAGTGAAACATGAGAACACTATGTGAACAATAATATGTGAACAATATATAGTGAAATAGGATAGTTCACAGACACTGTGTGAACAATAGTTAATGCAAAATAACAGTTTACAGACGCCGTCTGAACAATATTATATGAACAATAGTTAGTGCAACTGTGTGAACAATATAAAGTGAAACAAGATAGCCCAAAGAAACTGTATGAACAATATATCTAGTGAAACATGACAGCACTTAGACACTGTCTAAACAATATTGAGTGAAATCATGACAGCATACAGACAGCGTGTGAACAATATTAAGTGAGTAAAACAAGACAGCCTACAGACACTGCACAGACACTGTGTGAACAATATTAAGTGAGTGAAACAAGACAGCCTACAGACACTGCACAGACACTGTGTGAACAATATTGAGTGAGTAAAACAAGACAGCCTACAGACACTGCACAGACACTGTGTGAACAATATTAAGTGAGTAAAACAAGACAGCCTACAGACACTGCACAGACACTGTGTGAACAATATTAAGTGAGTGAAACAAGACAGCCTACAGACACTGTGTGAACAATATTGAGTGAGTAAAACAAGACAGCCTACAGACACTGCACAGACACTGTGTGAACAATATTAAGTGAGTAAAACAAGACAGCCTACAGACACTGCACAGACACTGTGTGAACAATATTAAGTGAGTGAAACAAGACAGCCTACAGACACTGCACAGACACTGTGTGAACAATATTAAGTGAGTAAAACAAGACAGCCTACAGACACTGCACAGACACTGTGTGAACAATATTAAGTGAGTAAAACAAGACAGCCTACAGACACTGCACAGACACTGTGTGAACAATATTGAGTGAGTAAAACAAGACAGCCTACAGACACTGCGTGAACAATATAAGGTGAAACACAAAAACCACAGAAATTGTGTGAACAATTTAAAACGAAACATGACAGCACATAGACACTGTGAACAATCATAAGTGAAACATAACAGCACACAGATACCATGTGAACAATATTCAGTGAAACATGACAGCACATAGACACTGTGAACAAACGTAAGTAAAACATAACAGCACACAGATACCATGTGAACAATATTCAGTGAAACATGACAGCACATAGACACTGTGAACAATCATAAGTGAAACATGATAGCACACAGATACCATGTGAATAATATTCAGTGAAACATGACAGCCCAAAGACACGGTGTAAACAATCGTAAGTGAAACATGATAGCACACAGATACCATGTGAACAATATTCAGTGAAACATGACAGCCCAAAGACACGGTGTAAACAATCGTAAGTGAAACATAAAAGCACACAGATACCATGTGAACAATATTCAGTCAAACATGACAGCCCGAAGACACGGTGTGAACAATCGTAAGTGAAATATGATAGCACACAGATACCATGTGAACAATATTCAGTGAAACATGACAGCCCACAAACACTGTGTGAAAAATCGTAAGTAAAACATGATAGCACAGATACCATGTGAACAATATTCAGTGAAACATGACAGCACATAGACACTACATGCACACTACCATGGAGTCCTCCTTATGTCCTCCCATGAGCAGTTTCATGACAACAAAGTTTGTCTTGGCTATCTTCACAATGGTCTGGATCTGAACAGGTTAAACATTTATCACTTTAGCCAGATGTTTACTTAATTTACATTTTCATAATATATAAAAAAATTGTTTAACCTTGCGTAAACAAACCAAATTATTATAGAGCTTAGATTACTGTATGAGTCGTTAATTGAAGAAAACCCATCTATACAAGCTTAAAAAGTATAGACATCTGGTAGCTAGTCTGAAGAGCGATGAGGTGTATACAGCAAAACTCTTCGCCGCCGAGGTTAACGCGAGAGGGCTTGTCTCCACTTCCACATACAGTGTACTAAAGCACCTGGGTTTGCGAGGAAAAAGTGCAAAGAAGAGCTAAAATAACTAGGTGAAGCTGTAGAAAGAGCTTCGAGCTGGCTGTGAACACAAACAGAACATCATGGGGGATGGGCCTTGGTAGACTGTGTAGACTTTCCTAGTGGAAAGGAACTTTTCATCCCTTTAAAACAAAATTGTCCGAGTAAAGCCTGCCAGTGTCTCTCTGCCCATGGCCAAAGACTTATGTCTGTTCGATGAACCAACCGTAAGCTTGTCACTTTGGTCGTGCAGGTAGTCAACTAATTTGCTACCACAGTGACAATATATAACACCAAACCTCACAATACCTATTGCAAAGCCACCAATTCGTCTTGTTTGTGTCAATGAAATATTAATATCATCTTATCATGCTTGGATGCAAAACAATCCAGCATTATCTCTGCCTATGTTCCCCCTTTTAACCATTGTTTATAGGGTCAATATATTTTTCACACCATAATGTGCACAAATAAAGAACTATTTTAAAAAGACAGCTGAATATTAATTTACATTTAAAGCATGATAAGAAAACAAAATTAGAAAAAAATAGTAAATACTTGGCAACAATATCTACAAAACCATACTAACAACTTATAAATCATGAATTAATCAAGTAACAGAAAGTGTATTGATCGACACTCATAGAAAGAAGTAGAAAGATAGTGTAGTTTATTTATAATAACTTATAGTAGCACAGAGCTGTAAATCAATTTGTGAATAGTCGTTGAATGTGTAACATGTTTCCTATTGTGAAAAGATTTATTCTCAACCAGACTAGTAAAGAATTGCGGAATAATCTTCCAAAAAAGTATATAAAGAGTTCTCTAGCTAGTGGTCTTTCTTCTAGCAAGCATCAATACATTCCCAAATAAGTTAGTTTGTCCTCTTAGGCCTAGGGTGGCGCATAGGGCAGAGGTCACAAATCTCCATGTCTTATGGTTGGTTGCCACCTGCTTTAGGTTTAAAGTCTCTCTTGGTCTCCCCGTTTTCTTTCCCCATATGGCTTAATGGGTATTCCCAAATACCGCCCATGTAATTCTGGGATGCATTCACCCTACACAGTGGCCTTACCTGCAAGCTAACCAGCTGACACATTTCCTGGACTCATTCACCCTACACAGTGGCCTTACCTGCAAGCTAACCAGCTTACACATTTCCTGGACTCATTCACCCTACACAGTGGCCTTACCTGCAAGCGAACCAGCTGACACATTTCCTGGACTCATTCACCCTACACAGTGGCCTTACCTGCAAGCTAACCAGCTGACACATTTCCTGGACTCATTCACCCTACACAAAGGCCTTACCTGCAAGCTAACCAGCTGACACATTTCCTGGACTCATTCACCCTACACAGTGGCCTTACCTGCAAGCTAACCAGCTGACACATTTCCTGGACTCATTCACCCTACACAAAGGCCTTACCTGCAAGCTAACCAGCTGACACATTTCCTGGACTCATTCACCCTACACAGTGGCCTTACCTGCAAGCTAACCAGCTGACACATTTCCTGGACTCATTCACCCTACACAGTGGCCTTACCTGCAAGCTAACCAGCTGACACATTTCCTGGACTCATTCACCCTACACAGTGGCCTTACCTGCAAGCTAACCAGCTGACACATTTCCTGGACTCATTCATCCTACACAGTGGCCTTACCTGCAAGCTAACCAGCTGACACATTTCCTGGACTCATTCATCCTACACAGTGGCCTTACCTGCAAGCTAACCAGCTTACACATTTCCTGGACTCATTCACCCTACACATGAGCCATAGGTATTGAAGCCTTACCTGCAAGCTAACCAGCTGACACATTTCCTGGACTCATTCACCCTACACAGTGGCCTTACCTGCAAGCTAACCAGCTGACACATTTCCTGGACTCATTCACCCTACACAGTCGCCTTACCTGCAAGCTAACCAGCTTACACATTTCCTGGCATGCCATGAAAATAAAACTGATCTTTCTCAGCCCTTAATCGTCTCAGAGACACCAATAAATGACTTTAGACCGAGCCCATGTTTGTCTTCTTGAGTATACTCACTGAGGGACGGAGAAAGATGCATACCACTTGCAGTCAGAGCAAAAGCACCAGAATCTTGCTTAAAAACTCTCCCAGTTACAATTTTATAAAATATATTGCAAATATTGTGGTGTTATGAATCAATAACCAAAAGCTGAACTGCTTGGTGACATAATCACAGGTAACTGAAAGAACCAAACCCATGCATTGTGTGTCCTGAAATGAAGTTACACTGAAGTATTTGGTACACACCTCTTCTGTTGTTGGAGACACAGAGTCTAGAAGCTCCTTGGCTTGACAAAAACATTTGCAGGCAGACCCAAACATTTCTTGCATGGTTGGCACAGGGTCGTAGCGGCGAAGATCTGACATTTCCTGACAAGTCAACAAAGAAGTTTAGCTAGTGTTACCACAACTTTCCTTTAATGCCCCATCAATGTCCATTAACGAGTTACTGAGAAGTGACAGGTAAAGGAAACAACAGAGAAGAGCACACAACAGATTAACTCAGGCATGAGAATGCAGCAACAAGCTGCTACCAAATCAGTGAGATGACTTTCCACATTTACATTATATGTTGAAAGGCAGTTACTGAACTTACTAAAGGTACACAGTCCTACTTTCCTCTCGATTATAATTTGTATATCAAGTGTGACAGTGTGCAACACTACAATATTTTCCAACTCTATGCGACAAAGACAAAAAGGATATTAATATTAACTGAAACACTGGACAACATGAATGAAACTGGTTACTATGACACACAGGATTTCTAGATACAATGTACATTTGTGAATCTATAAATTAAAGATGCCTTTATTCATGAGGCCAATCAGTACAAGACTGGTGGTGAAAGTCCCTGATCAGGACATCCTACTTTCTGCACACTTGTTCACTTCAGCATGAGCCTGTGCTCCAGGTCCTTGCATACCTATAGAAATATAGTTTCTCTCTTTGGACATTGTTATCTTTTGTCCTTTGTCATTATAAATTGTTGAAAATAATGTTTTCCATTGCGAATTTTCTTCTTCTTTTAGTTCACCTTTAAAAAAGGCAGATCATGTTGTGTTATTGTTTAGAGCTAAGCTGCCATGTCTGTACCTCTGGGCTCAAAAAGTCTGATTTTAGCAAACTCTTAAATAACAACTTTTTGTGGGTTTATTCCCCCCTCCCCACTGGGGCCTAGAACATATATAAGAGATTGTGCATATAAAAGATGAGAAACACAGATGATATATCATACAATCTTACGCCAAGCAAATTGAGCTGTATCTGATACGAGATACGCTATCCAACAAATTATGCAACATATTTTCTGTGTTCTCATGTTTTAAAGACTCATCAGTCACTTCCATGTCTCATATGCGATCAAGCCAAGACAACCTGTTCTGCAAGGCGTTCAGTTGTAACAGTAGTAACAGAGAAGTTGCTGACATTCATGAAATCTACACTGAACTCAATTATGGGTACTAACCTTGTATTGGGCGTAGTGTACCATCGGAGGGGTCACAATGGCAGCGAAAGGAGCAAACCTATGGCTGTAGCGAACCTCTTCATGATCAAACCTGAACTTTGGTTCTTTCAGTTTGCCACACAGCTGGAAACCAACCACAGCCTGGTGATTGCACAGATGTTATCTGATTAATTTCTCATAAGTAGTGAATTATATTTCCACAGTGCTTATCATTTTCTATTGTTGTTACAGGCTGCATGTTAATTTTCATTACATTCCTCTTCATTTTCCCCTTTTTTACTTTTATTAACACAATAAGGATAAAAAAAACAGTTCTAAAATCACATTTTGTATGACCTTCAATGTATAGTAGTGTTTGTTCTTCTTCTTCTTAATCGCATTCATTGGCTGTAACTGGTGTTCACTGTCTGTAACAGGTGATTACTGGTAGAAAGTTCTGTTGTTTAACCCATTTTGACTTCAGTTGGTTCCAGAATGTGAGTTTTTGTGTGCATATTCATTTTACAGATATGGCTTATTTGTATGCGAACTGTTGCTTCCTTGCTTCTCTGGTGAATGTACTCCAACTTCGAAGGAAACCTCCCAATTAGTTGACTCTTACGACATGCTTGCTTGGAAGGCAGTAGGTCTACGATTTCTTTCCTCCCCACAATTGGGCCCCGGAACCCACATGGGGACAATGTTGTCTCTATTACCTTGGTTATGTGTCTGAGTCACATTACGAGCTGTAGTACACATCACTCATAAACTGTCGCTGAAGCTAGAGTACGTGATTTGTGTGACGCCCTCAGCAGACAGCTAACCAGTCAGCGGAGAGAGACCCAGCTATATGGGATAATCCAGTGCAATGAAATCTGATCTTCTTGACTTTAACTCCTAAACAAATGACTGTATATCTCTAAAGTTTGGTCGAAGGAATCTTCTATATATGTCATCATAAATAACAAACGATATTATAACAACAGTAATTCAAGAAGAAGCTCTATTATAACAACAATGCTTCAAGAAGAAGCTCTATTATAACAACAGTGCTTCAAGAAGAAGCTCTATTATAACAACAATGCTTCAAGAAGAAACTCTATTACAACAGTGCTTCAACAGGAAGCTCTATTATAACAACAGTGCTTCAAGAGGAAGCTCTATTATAACAACAGTGCTTCAAGAAGAAGCTCTATTATAACAACAGTGCTTCAAGAAGAAGCTCTATTATAACTACAGTGATTCAAGAAAAAGCTCTTTGACTGTTTCATTGATTACACTGCAGCATCTGGTTTATTTGGTCACAAGATAGACATAACTGTTTTATACATTCATTTATTACTCACTTTATAATATGCACAAAACATTTGTTGATAAGCTTGGGCCATTGTCAGTTCTCGAGTTAGTGTCTTTGTCCTCTTTTTCTTTTTGTTTTTCTTGCTGCTTCTGCCTTTCTGGGTTAAATCTGTCAATAAAACAAAAGGACTATAATAAAATGCTTCAGAGAAATATCTTTCACTCTTGCCTTCCACTTGTGTGTGTGTGCATGTGCACGTGAGAGGAGTGGGGGTTGAGAGACAGAGAGAGAGAGAGAGAGAGAGAGAGAGAGAGAGAGAGAGAGAGACAGACAGAGAGAGAGAGAGAGACAGAGAGAGAGAGAGAGAGACAGAGAGACAGAGACAGAGACAGAGAGAGAGAGACAGACAGACAGACAGAGAGTATAAAGGTACCAGTGAAGGTAGTCCCATAACAGACACTGCTGCCGGAGTGTGAGGTGATAGGTCTTCACATATTCCACACCGTGACACTCACACACACCCACCCACACAGATATATATGTGTTTGTGTGTGTGTGTGTATATATGTGCCCCAGTATATATATATGTGCCCCAGTATATATATATATATATCAACATACACTCTCTCACCATTCCTCATGCACAAAAATACAGGTCCTGAAGAATATATGTCATATTAAACTCCCATAATACAGTTATTACTTTTTAAAGAAGCTTAATACACATGTAAGTGACCTCTGTAGATAGAGATTCTTTTGGCAAAGTGTAGATAAATGTAAAAAGCAAGAAACACAAGCTATGATAAATAATAATAAAAGGGAAGCCAGATTTTTTAACATGCTTCAACTAAATGTAAAATACAATTGAACACATGAAATGATGGTCAGGATTCATGGGAAAGAACCCACAACATATCATGTTCTCTGTGAACACTAAAAGTTCAGCAAATGTTCACACCTGGTGCACTGTCAGCTTCTAGCAGGAAACTGTCAGCTCTGTGTAGTGTTGACACCAGCCACGCATACAGCAGTTCATAAAGATACCTGCATAAACAATATAAGTAGTGAGTTTAATGACATCTGTAATATAACTCAGGAACAAGTTACAGAAAGAAAGACATACAAACAGATGAGATTTAACAGTTCTTCTTCTTCTTCTTCACATTCACCAGCTGTAAACTCTGGCAGAAAGTTCTAGTTGTTCCTTCACTTCTGTACTTTGGTCATGTTCTATAATTTGAATTTGGTGTGCACATCCATTTGACAGATATGGCCTATTTGAATGCAGACTGTTGGTTTCTCATACCTCAGTCAGATGCATCCTCCCACCCCTCCCCCCACCTCAAAACAGACCCTTGGAATCCACAAGAGGAAGACCTGAAAAGTATCTGCATATGGCACATCCCAACCTTATCAGGCGAAGTCTAGGAGAAAGAAGGAAGAAAAGAAAGAAGCAAGGAAGGAAAAGAATATTCAATATAATTCGGTTGTGGAAAGTTTAGATAACTGTTTACTTTACCTGTGAACATTAGTCCCATTGGACAAACAGTCTGCCTTTTGCTAATGAGCCATGGTAACACAGAGGTTAGTGTATCTGCCTACCAATACTGCAGTACCAGTGTCAGTCCCCTGTAGTGTTTCAACTGTTGTTACTGACCAGCACACAGCTGGGGTCAATGTATCAAATAGAAACAAGGAAATTTATCTGGGAAATTAAAGGCACCCAGTATGGTCAAAAATGGAATACCCTGGCATATCTCTGTTGGCTACTGAAGATGGTGACGGAGCACTTATGGGAATGTCATGGGTACTGCAATGTCAATTCTTCACTCAACTCATCCCCTGGCACATACTGGGGCAAAGTGTTAGGCCTGTGCAAACTCTTAGCCCTGGAATAATGATGTAGGCTGCTTCTTTTCTTACTAAAATTTTCCAGTACCTACTTCACAAGACTCAGTCAACCCCCCACAGATGTAAAAGCCTGGGAAAAAAAACAACAACATCCTGTCAGTGTTAGAGACTGAATCCTAACCATTATCTTGGCAAGCATATTAATATCTACATTACTGCAGCTCCAGTGTTGTACCATGTTTACATCTCCTCATGTTTATAAAAACCTGACATAAAAAGTTGAGAAAGGCATAGAATGAAGTCATGTGCAAGTTATGAGTTGGGTGATCTTCATGGCACTCCTGCCACATCCTTGGGTGGTCAGATTCCCATTTGAACATATACATCTGCATCCCATGGTTAATAGTGCCAGCCCTATGCTGGCTGATTAGACCTTCGCATGTCCGGTTTAACTGATCCTTACTCAAAATTTTCAAATTTTAGCAGCTACGTGAACGCAATGCTCCCAAAATCCTCCTATCGCCCCAACTCTCTAAGGGCATTAACAATGTTGGTGCAACTATGCGATGGTCATCTGCAACTTAAGGCAGAGCCAGTTAAATACATCAGATCTTTCACTGCCAGCACACACGTTATTTTAAATATTATAAGACATCTGTTTGAATTATTTACATGAATTCATGCGTATTAAAATGGTATGTACCAGAGATTCATCTAGTATAACAATCAGATTTTTGCCTGATTTCTCTTTAATGACCAACTTTACCGATTTATGTTGCACTTGTTTATGTTTATCTCAGAGTAACAGTGTCTCCCCCACACCCTCTCCCCACTTAAAACTTGTGACATCAAGTGAAAAACATCTTGGTTTTGGTGGTGAGATGAGGATGATGTCTGGAAGATGTCTGTTCTGGCATTTATTACACTACTTATGATGAAGAATGGATACCAGTTCCTACAAAGTTCAAATAATCTTATCAGTATTGCGATGATATCTTCTGATGAATTCAGACAGCAGACTTCTTCTACACTAGCATTGAAGCCAAATGGTGTCTGAATACTGACATGATGGGGATGGCAGTGTTAGATGTGGATCAATTGTTAACCACATGTGTTGTACTTAGAATTTTGCAAATCAGACTAGTTCAGAAGGAGAGTAGTGCTTTCTTGGCAACCAGCATTTGGCTTACAATTTAGTTACCAGTTGCCACTGTGATAATGACCTAAAACTGAAGTTAAAAATCTCACATCAAGAGTATGATCATCGTCAGGGAAAAAGAACAAGCAAACTACTTTCATAAGAAATGCCAAGAAAGATGTGTGTCATGACACACAATATAGAAGTTTTGTTACACAATCCTGGTGTTCATATCTATTTACTGACATGGTATATGATCATGTAGAATACAGGGAATTAAATGGTATGACAGAAACTCTAATGTGGAGATTTGGGACAGAACTAAACAAATTCCAGTCAAGAGGTAAGGACACACTCAGAAAACCTGATAAAAATCAGCATTCTCATTAGATGGCCAAACCAATTCCTTCTTTGTTTCTCAATAAATTTGATGATGGGTGTTTTTCCAACAGTGCTTGTGATCCTGTTGTTGGAAAAATGGCAAACCAAAAATACATTTGGAAAAAAGAATTTGTGAATGAGGTGAAAAAAATAACAAGGGCCTGAGCTGCAACAGGACGACTTAGCACAAGTTGGTTGAGAGCCTGTGCTCTGTTGGGGGGAAAAAAGTGCAGAAGAAAAAATATGATGGTGAAACATTTTGGAAACCATCATAAACTTTAAGGGTTAACTCAAGTAAGACCCCACCCCAAACAGAGACACTAGCCAGTACACAGACACTCACCAGTATACAGACACTCACCAGTACCCAGACACTCACCAGTACCCAGACACTCACCAAGTCCCAGACACTCAGCAGTAACCAGACACTCACCAGGTCCCAGACACTCACCAGTACACAGACGCTCACCAGTACACAGACACACCAGTACCCAGACACTCACCTGTACCCATACACTCACCAGTACACATAGTGATATTCAAACACAGCATAGAGCTCCAGCTCAAAGCCTGACAAGGTGTAGTTTATCATGGCATTGAGAGTATGGTACAGAACCCATGTACCAAAACATGCCAGGTGGTTCCTGTTTCTCTCTGTCTTGATGAGCAGAGTGTGCAGATAAGCATCGACTTTGTCTGCCTGTTGAGAAATATCAGGATGAACAACTATTAGAAGTAAAGACAATCCTCATGGATCTAAATATCAAGTAAATCAAATTTAGGATCCACTACCAAAAACTGCCATAACAGAAGACAAAAAAATTAATGAAAAGGCTTGGAGTCACAAAAAAAGACCCCCCCCCCCCCCCCCCCCCCCAAAAAAAAATCAAGTGTAAGATATAAGCAGTCAAAACAAATACAAAAACAGAAGACTAAAACAATCAAAGTGAGATAACAGGTTATCATAAAGTTAGGCTAATGTGGAATTTGTATTCTTATGCTGCTGATCGAGATAATAAACATTTTGTATAAAAACTAAAATGTATATAGTTTTATTGGATACTCTGAGTAAACTGAGTATCACCATCGCTGTCACTATATCATTAACTTAGCTAGATGGCCAAGTAGAAGCCTATTTTGCTGAAAATACAGATAACCAGACAATGCACAAGACAATTGGAAGCAAGCATAAGATGGTCACCTCCTCCTGCAAGTTGGACAGATCTTCAAGTATGTGTGCCCACTTGTCTCTCTGTCTTGCTCTATTGTGGCCTGTAATTTGGAACAGGGTACAAAAAGGGCGCGCTGATCTAGTCAGGAGTGCATCAACATACTCTTTGGCTTGTGGATGATTGTAGATGGAGGATCTGGCAACAACAAAATGTTACCTTTGTCACTGATATTTTACACAGAATTAGTTTGTTTAAACCGATCTACATAAAAACATAAATAATGCAAATTATGTCAGTAAAAGTACCCCTTTCATTTCAATGAATTCTGTCTACACTCCGCTGATTGATTGGCACCTTTCTGTCTTTCCAGACAAGTGTTATATTGCCCTATGAAGAGGCACGGGACTCCTAGCTCATGGCAATTGTGAGTGTTACTAGCAAGACCCACCTGTGTTAAGAAGTCTTCTACAACTATAGCATGAGATTTCAGGACCATTGTTGTCAACATTTGTGTTTAGTCTGCTTCTTCTCAGACGCTCAGCTCTTATTCTTTCTGCAATCATTTCTTCTTTCATTCTCATTCCTTTCCTGATGTGCCCCCTCCATACAACACAATCCATGGTATTTTGTTATCAGAAGTCCACATCAATACCTGTATCATTCATGTCCTGCCTGCACACATCTTTATATCCTAGTAGAGGTCAGCCTCGACATGTTCTACCTGTCTTTAGTTCACCATCAAGGATGTCCTTAGGGACTCTGGCATCCTCCATTCTCCAGGTGTGACTCCGCCACCCGAGCCTTCTTAACCCCGCTACCCTAGGAGATAATAAACAATAATCATCATGTACTAGGTCTTCATGCTGATCACAAACCACTGATAAGAATCTTGACCTCCTGCCACAAACCTGTGTTTTCATGCCAGATGTTTGTCTCTCAATAAAAGTCAAGAAGCCTTTTCCATGTGTTCAGGCCTACTGGGCATATAGTACTAAACCTACATTTGATAGACCAGTTGGTATTCGATGGGTGCTTTGCTTCCCAGACACTCACCAGATAGCCTCATCTGCAGTTCTCACATTTTCAGCATTTATGTTGAAAAGAATTTTTAAAAATGCAGCCCTGTCATACTCCACTTCACAATTTGAGATTTCCTTTGTTAGGGAAAGGAATGTACACTGCTCTTCTCCAAGCTTTGTGGCAGTAAGCAATATGCCAGATTTTCAAACAGTTCATGATGTATTCTGAGGCTGGCTTTTTCTCCCGACTGTCAATGCCACACAGCATGGATTATAAAAAAGAATATTAACATGCATATGAAACAAATTCCAAAAATGCCACTGCATGTTTTCACCCACTTTTGCAGTGTAGGCAGAGGGGTCTATGAGCCTGAGGATGTGGGGTCGCATGGCTTGTGATGTCGCCATGGGCTATGCAGGTTAGGATTTTAGTTTTGACCGCAACAGAAAAATATCCCCAACCTCACTGAAGATTCAAACCCAGATCTCCCACTTGAGAGTTCTGTATTCTAGCCATTCAGACAGCCGCTCCTCAAAGGTCACTTAAATTGCAGATATGATAATTCAAAGATAGCAAGTCAAATTTAAAAAATAATAATAATAATGCTCTGCATCAAGAATGCTGATGACTTCTCTATTCCTTATTAATACAATGTGCCTTACTTGGGTGAGAGGCCAGGAGGTGCAATGAAGCTCCTGATGGTCTCCTTAAGGGCATCCACAACACTTTGAGTACCAAACACTCTCCGGTTGGGAGGAAGTAGTACCAGCTGTGAAGACACAAACATGAAGATGTAAAATAGTTTCATTATGTAAATAAAAAATATATGTTCAAGTTTAGATACCTGATAGTGGACATATTGAAAAGTTCACTGACTCTCTTTTAAGGACATGGCAAACTAACCCCAGTATTTATTGGCTACTGTGTGGTTTTACTAAACAATGTTACATTCAGTATTTGCCACTGCTTTCTTAACAGTACAATGGCCATACAGTTGTCAAAAAGAAAGCAAAGTGGTCTGCTAACAAATCACCTGCTACTGACTTGTAATGCTGGCATGTCAGAATTGTAAAACTGCAATAACAACCCCTAAGCCACAGATGCCAACAATATTTAAAGGAGACACAGTGATACAGTAGTTAGTGCTCATTCCTGCCACAACAGTGGGCTGGGTTCATTCCCTAAGATAGATTTAATTATTATTCCTGCCTTTGAAACTGGGGTTGACCCGATCACATAAAATGGGTACCGGACTATTTTCATAATTAACTGGGAAGGCAGAGGAAGACCCAGGAAAAATTGGATAGATGGAGTAGCTGAATACGGACAGAAGATCCAGAAAACTGTCACTCAAATCACGCGAGAGGCACAAAACAAATATTTTAAACCACGACACTGGGCTGCAACCCGGTAAAAGTGAAGAAGACAATAGATAGATCTGGGAAGGCAAGAAAAGGTAGGAACTGGCAATCTTACCTTATACGTTATGGCCTAAGATATGTGAAAACATTAACATTATACATATATATATATATATATATATATACACACACGCACGCATGCATGCACACACATACACACATATATATTTATATATATATATATATATATATATATATATATATTATATATATATATATATATATATATATATATATATATATATATATATATATATATATATATAAAGGAAAATAAATACACATTTTGTATGCATATATATATATATATATATATATATATATATATATATATATTTACATACAAAATGTGTGTTGATTTTCCTTTTTTTTTTCTTCACAACACAAATTTCCACTTTCTGCACATAATTTCTCGGAGGCAGTCTTCGGTGCGAACGAACAAACAAAACATTATTTTTCAAAGGGCTGGAAGTATTGTGGCCTTCAGTGAGAACTTTCCCAACTGCTTGTACAGGGACTGTTCAACTGTTTTAGTTCCAGGTGGAAGTTCCAGAAGTGAGTTCTAGCATAGCTGCAGGTGCCCGATTGTCTAGACTGGACCAAAAGATTCCACCTGCCTGAATGTGTCTCCGAGGCTGATCCAAGGAGCACAAACACCAGATTAGTGGACACATCAATCTACTATGTCAACCATCAATTAGTATTTTTTATTCCTCAATCCTAGAATTTAACTTTCCAGATGAAATGTTACACTTGGTAATGTTCTTCCGGGCTTTTGAAGTTTATTTTAACAGTGTATGTCAATGAACAAAAGCTACTATATTTTAGTACATTTAAATGTACAATTTATTTTAACAGTAGGGAATCAGATGTGGGCAAACCCCGAATCCTCTCGTTTAACCAGCAAGGCTGGGAAAAATATAATCTTTAACAGGATGTTTCAATGTTTGCGATTCCCTCTGTAGATCACACACAGTGCATTTGCTAGATTAAAGCGAATTAACCCGCCACACTGAAATAACACCTGCCACACACATGCTAACAGTTTTTGAGCATGTGCTTTATACATTAAAGGTAGATAGAACAAATAACACTTCATCAAAGACCTACATCCACCATTTAGGAAGCAGAAAAGATATGTCTGAGCCCCAGAAACAACCAGCTTACCTGCAGCAGAGATCTGGATAACACACATGGAGAAGATTTACTGAAATCCATAAAAGCTTCCTGAAAAGAATCAACAGTAACATAATGTTATATTTTAACAAAACACATAATACACCTAATCATCATCATCAGGTGCCTTGCCTGCTGACACAATCTGCGATCTCCGGCAGCATGTATTAGTTCGTGCGCTGACACACCTCCATGCAATGCAACAAGACTGTCAAGAATCCTCTCTCATCTTCGTCTATCCATCCTCCCACAGATCTTTCCAGCGGTCACAACATGTTCCATTTTCCTTCTTCTCATAACATGGCCGAAAAATGATGACTGTCTCCTTCAGATGTCTGTGATTAGTTGTCTGCGAGCTCCTGCCTCTTTCAAAACTTTTGGTTGCTCTTTTGGCTGTTCAAGGTTTTTTAAGCATTCTTCTGTAAAATCACAAAATACATATATCTCAGCTAAAACACTGATCAATACAAAATACAAAAAAAAAAAAAAAAAAAAAAGGAACAGTAATAAAGTAAAGTAAAAAACCCTTTTCACTGTAAAATGGATGTGCACACAAAACTCCAGCTGCTGCAACAGGACTAAAGTCTAGAAGGGGTCTTCTTCTTCTTCTCTTCCACCTTGTAATGGATATGATGACTGCAATGACCAGGGGTCTTAAATCTGAAGGCTTACGATCCCTTGCCCTACAACTCCCTAAAAAGCGGTAAATACAAGAGTTATGACTGGAAAAAAATATGGGCATACTCACAAATATGAAGTGCAATGAGCCAAGTTCTGGTATTGTTGTAATTGTCTGTAGCTTCTTAACCAGCGTGACCATGTAATTTAGAGAGTCCACCCGTGGCTGATGATCGGGGATCATCATCAACTTCCACTTTTGCCATTAAGTGGGAAGGAACAATTTGCAATCCATTGCTTGAAGGGCTACTTACATTCTGTGCCAATGCAGAAGCTCTTTAATGTCATCAGTCTATGTTCTCCTAGGGCAGACTCTTGATTTCACTTCAGATATTTTCATGTGTAGCAACTGCATTGGTAGTTGTTCTGGCTGCATTCTTACTAGATGACCAAACCATCTGATATTCTTTTTTCTCAATAACTTTACAGTCTGTCTGATATCATTTCTAACTTTGTCTCAAATCTAGCAACTGTCTCTGTACCCCGTAATCCTCAAGAATAGTCGAAAGTTTGTTTCTGTCTTCTCTCTCAAAAGCTTTTTTGTGTCTTGATATACAAACACAATATTCAGTAAATTTTTACATTCAATGGTTGTCTTACAAGCTTGTCTTTATGTAAATAATGCATCTGTGCAACCCTTTCCTTTCCTGAAACCAAATTGTGGTGTTCTTGGGCGCTGTTCCACTACAAGTCTAACTCTCTGTTCTAATAACTTTGCATATATTTTCCTATATGTCTCAAGAGTGATATACCTATATGCACAGTTTTTTGTATTACCTTTCTTTTTCCAAACTGGCATTAGCAACGCCTGCTGTCAGTCAAGTGGAACAGTTCTTTCTTGCCATGCTGTATTAAAAATACTTTTTAGCCATTTTATGTCAGTTTGACCAAATGCTTGAATAGCTTCGGTAATTGTTACATCTGAACCAGATGCTTTGTTTTTTATGGCCCTCCTTATAAAAGCTTTTACTTCTGATGTTTAAAAGTTTGATTGATATTGGTCACTGCTTTTAAGCACAAAATTGATGTTATCTATCACAATTTTCAGGGTTTAGTAGCTTTTTAAAATATTCTGCCCATCTTGCTTGTCTTTAACATGGAACGAATACAGCACAGCCTCTGTTATTTTAAAAGGTGGTTGGATAGTAGCATTTACCTCTTGTTCTCAAATTGTTAATCTATCTGTAAAATTCTCTAGACAAACTTCTACTAAGAATATCTATCTGCTCTCTATACTTTTTTAATGATTCATCTTTAGAAGCTTTGATCATATGTTTTGCAACTCTTCTTATCAGCATATGTCTGTAAGGTTTGCATTAGATTCCTCCACTCTGCTCTGCTGCATGCAACACTCTCTTGATTTCTGACATGGAGTTCAAGCCCAGCATTTTTAGCCTCTCATAATAATGTTCTTAATGTTTCCTCTTTTTCTCAGACTGTTTGTTTCCTATTTGAATGCTTGTTTTGTAATTTTTTGTTAATTTCGTCTCTACCTTCTTTGTCTTTTTGCAGTCAGTAAAGATTTTTGTCCAGAAATTTTTCTCACTCTTCTTGAATTCATCCTTTTTTATTTTCAGGATTTTTCTAAGATATTTATCTTCAAATGCATTGAACGTTCATTCCATATCTTTGGTATTTCTTTAACTTTCGCTGGCATATGTTAGAACTGAAATAGCATCAGTACTGAAGATAAACAGTTTGGTCTTAAAGCTGTATAACTTAGAGGTCCATATTTTGTTCAGTTTTTTAAAGACTGTTGTTGCTTTGCCAATGTGTATCATAATTTCCTACACTGTATCTCCTCGAGATTCAAAAGTGCTGCCCAAATTGATAAAACGGTATTTACTTTCATTGGTTTGTTCTCCAGCTTGACATCTACATGACTGCTGTTGGTATCTTTATTATACTTCATTTGTCCTAATTTTATTTGTAATGCTTTTGTTTGCATGTCTTTGTTAATTTTACTTAACAGAACAATATCATTTGCAAATCAAGATCTTCCAGTTGTATATTCTCTACCCAATCAAAGCCAGTTTTGCTTTTGCAACATTTGTTCACTACCCAATCAATGGCTACTTCAAACTACAAGGGAGATAGAATGCAGCCTTGTCTCACTCCAGTGTCACCAAAAACCATTAACTTAAACTGTTCTGAACCATTGTATAAATTTCGAATAATGTGTATTATTTTGGCTGGTATGTCATAGAATTCTAAAATTCTCCCCAGTATGCTTTGTTTAACTCTGATTTAAAGACACACAAACACCACACAAAAAACATAAATAATAATGTGACAATCAATGATCAATGCAAAAGTCACTTCCTGTATTCACACACACACATACAATTACAAATGTATTAAAAATTTTTCAAAATATTCATTAGTGACCCATGTAAAATTGTTGCTTTTATAGGATTTATTTTGAGAATTACTGAGAGGAGTGGCTGGCCGAATGGTTAGAATGCTGGGCTCTCATGCGGGAGACCCGAATTCGAATCCTTGGTAGGGCTGGGGATTTTTCTGTCGGGTGCTCCCCCCCAAAAAAAATGTGTCATTACTTGCACATTCTGACAGCACTAGCCATGCAGCCCTTAAACCTCAGGTCCAAAGATAAAATCCCCCCCCCCCCACAAAAGTGGTTTAAAAAAAGGCATTAATTGGCAGTTTTTGAGAATTCCTATTGGGGGGCGGGGGGGGGGGCGTGACACATTGTTTTTAAAGTTACAGAGGCGAAAGGGTTAAGGTTATATACACTGCCCCACACATCACGGTTTAAGGTCAGCTGCTTACTATTGTCTGTAGCAGTAAAAATTAAGCTAATAAAAATTACAATTTTGTCTAGACAAGTGTTCTTTAACCCATGGGCCACCAGAATTGTCTGCCTATTCATATAATGGTATAAGGTGAGAAGTTCTGTTCCAGGATTGCACTCTGTGGGATTAACACCTCAAGGGTGATAATTAAACAGGTACAGATCCTGAAAACTGGGGAAACAATTATGATAGGGCACTCAACGGTTATGTAACCTGTAGTATAGTCTGGTCTGTGAAAACAAGGATTCTGGTAAAGGTCTTTGAATTAATAATCGGTTCTTGGAAGTTATAAAATCATGCACACTTGATCATTATGAAAAAGAAAAGCTGATTAAACTGTCTTCTGGTGCCAGTCTTGTGTCCAGACATAAACTGCAATCCAGGTTTGAGTTTCAAAAAAGAATATGCATCTTTGAGTTATAGAGCTATCTCACTGTTTTTTTAATTTAAATTTTTCTATTTGTATGAAAGAACTTTCTCAAGTATGTAAGTAATAGAAACTGAACAAAAAAAATGAATAGATGTTACTGCTACTTCTCGTCCATAAAAACAACAACGCCCCAGCAACGTATAAATAATTTTCTAACCTCTAAACAGCAGCAGACGTTGCATTAGCAAAAAACTGCTATTTTGTAACATCAGATTTAACAAGTAAAAAAAAAAACCTATCTGCATTTGCTTTTGGCTAAGCTGTCACGTGGGCCTCGAAACAATGTCCCCTGTTTTGGTGGGCCTCGAAACAATGTCCCCTGTTTTGGTGGGCCTCGAAACAATGTCCCCTGTTTTAGTGGGCCTCGAAACAATGTCCCCTGTTTTGGTGGGCCTCAAGTGTAAAAAAAAAAATGTTGAGGAACACTGGTATAGTCAGATGTTTGCCTATGTAACTTGTATGATATGTGACACAACAACCAACCATTCTTGGAGGCCGGTGTTGGTTCCTCCTGTATCCCAAGATGCCATGTGCCTATGATGGCTGGCAATATCTCAGCCATCTGACTTAGCTGCTTCTGGGCCGCTGGAAGTCCCTCACACTGGATGAAGATTTATAGCGATCATTATAAATTAAAATCATCTCCTGTTTTAAAAGTAAAAGGTCCCTTAACACACCAGAGGGGCACTGGGCATATGTGGTCAACATCATGCCAGCCGCATTTACTTCCCAGGATTTTACCTGGTGCCCATTTAGGGCTGGTCGACCGCGGAGCCAAGATCTTGCATCTTCAGGCCAGTGCCTAGCCGTTACACCACGGCAGCTCCAATCTCCTGTTTTAGTATGTAATTAATCTGATTAAATTATGCAAAAATATTTCCTAGGAAAAATGATGTACCTCAAATTTACAAATGTAGTACACATGTAAATTAACAATAAGCATGATTCCTTCTATGAAGGGCAATGAGGAAGGAAAAGATTTGCTGTTAAAGTAATCTAATGAACTAACCTCTATGCCACCACATCCCTTACTAAAACAATAACTGCCATAATCAGAAGGAAAAAAGCAGAAAATAGAATTCACTAGAATCTATTCACCTTGGCATGTATACCGACTATACTGAAATCTTGTACTGTCTAAAAACCTGACACTGTGTTCTTCTTCTTCTTCTGCGTTCATGGCTGCGATATTTGCACCTTTCGGCCAACACATCCGACTTCTGCAGACATTTGTTGACCGGGTAAGCTCTCCCTGTTAGGACACTGTGTTCATATCACCCTAGCTGAAATCCATATACAAGAGTACCTGAGTATATGTCCACTTTGGTATACATACTGTTTAAAAAAAAAAGATAAAGTTTGGAGATGTGAACCAGAGTCACTGCACACGGTTATAAACCATGAGTGCTCTGCTACCAGTATGGACAGCTGATAAGAAATTGTCTGCCTGAGTCTCTGTCCTCATATAACTCCGTAGCTACAGCGACGTTCCTCCATTTACCCCAGAGTGTCAACTCTGGTACCCATTTCCTAGAGGCTGGGTGAACCCCAGGAACAGCCCGTTTTCGAACACCGGCCGTGGGCTGCAGCTGAATTTGAAAGTGTGTCTCCTATCGACTGCACTAACGCGGCTCCGTGATTATGCATACTGTTTAAACATGAACAATTCTGCTTGGTATACAACTTCTGAAAAATGACTTGCATGCTAGAATTTGTATGAGTAAAAATGAATCATGATACCGCATGCTACCATTGTTTACCCCTCTCATTATGAAAGAAAATGTTTGCCAAAAAGATGGATGTCAAACATTTTGCATAGAAGTATCACCCCAAAAAAAGCTCCAACAAGCACACACAAAATATTGTCTGGAATGACCAATGTTCCATTTATGAAACATCCTGAGGAGAAGGTAGAAACAAAGTTTTTTGCTTTGCTTGTTGTACCCCACCAGGACATCACACAAGCGATAAACACCCAGTGACACAAAGTGCCACCATGTGGATGAGGATCAGCGGTGGAGAGGTCCCAGAAACTCCTTACAGTCGTTAGGCCATATCTATGGCTGGGCCATATCTATGCCCCAGCTATATTCAGGGCCCCCAGCAGAAGCCAGGGTGGGGCTTCAAATAAAAAAAAATTGCATCCCAAATGGAGATGACTTTCAGCATCACTGAAATAAAGTTCACATAGCTTTATCTTTATATGTCATAGATTTCCTATACTGCTGTAACTTCACATTATACAAGTGTCTATGGTGTCTGTCCACATATTGTGTGTGTGTGTGTGTGGGTGGGTGTGTGTGAAGGCGAATGGGAGATCCTTCTCTCCTTCTAAGCGTTCATTGGCTGCAAAATCTAGCAGAAAGTTCCAACACCTTAGTTATGTGTGCACATCCATTTTACAGGTCTGGCTTATTTGTATGCAGACTGTTGGTTACTCACCTCTCAGGTAAATATTTCTGACTTCAAAGAAATCTTCCCTAAAAAGTTGCCTTGTATGGCAGGCTTGCTAGGGAGGCAGAGGGTCTATTATTTTCCCCCCAAATAGGGGCCTAGAACTCACACAGGGAGAATGCGAGATAAAAGGCACAAGAACTTAATGATACAGAACACTATTAACAAGATTATTACCTTTTCTTTGGCAAATGATAAAAGTGTGGAATAGAATAATCTGTAAAACTTCAGTCGATTGTATACAGCTGTTACAAGCTGGTGCTGTAAAAACAGGTAAGCAAGGATCATTTTCCAATTTATATGTAGTTTTGCCACTCTAACTATCATTTGCATGTGGTATATATGTGGTTCTGATACTGTCTTAGAATACCTTAAAATTATTAATGGCATCGGGAAGGAGTCCAGACAATGAAATACTAAAACTACAGAGAACAAATTACCTACTAGGTCTAATTCTTGTAAGTCTATGTGCAATAAAAATTTAAAAAAAATTACATAAAAAAAATCTTGTTATGTCACTAGCACACGAGGCATACAGTCAGATCAGCAACTGATGGATGATGTGGTTAACATCACAGTGGCCACCTTTACTTTCCATGACATTTCCGGGTACCTGTGCCGTATCTACAATGAAGGTTGGCTGCAGTGTATATGTGCGTCCATGCTATATTTGGGAATATTATGTGGTGATACCTCAATATCTTCCAGGTATGACTCTCATCTTGCTGTTGGACAACCATGAGAACAAGTCTGTATGTGCTATGCTGCATCATGTCCGGGACGAGCCCTAATCTGCCTCTCCGCAGAAGTAAGGTTCCAGCACTGGCCCTTTACACACTGCTACTTTCTGACAGAACAGAGGAAACAGACAGCTGATCAAATAACCTTCCAGTCATAAGCTCTGGGAGAAGGTGTCAACAAAACACTGGAGCTTTCTGAGCGTAAGGTTAGATACATACTGAGAAAGGAAAGATAAGCGTGTTTTGTGGCGAGTAGAAAACATTACTGCACAGAATCCAGCTAGCTATATATTCTCCAGGGTAGGCAGGTGTACTGGAAAAGGAACAGGCAGACAGACTGGCTAGTTTTGTACCACTTGTTGACTTGGTGTACACTGAAGCTTGACAATCTAGATGTTATCAAGACTCCTTCAGTGTGAGTATGGAAGCACAGATAGACCATCATGAGATTGGTGCAGCAGAGTGACCAGGGGATATAGCTGGCACTCAATGCTTCAGGTTAAAAAAAAAAAAGGACAAGTTGGACATATAGTGAGACTGCTACTGGAATTACTAAACTGGAACTTTGTGCTGGATGCCAAAGCTGAATGTCGTCCCCAGTTCTGCGATGCTGGTTCTGATCTCACCTGAACTCAACAGAGTCACAAACAGTAATGTACCATTGATTACATTTTTACAGAGCTAACTCAGGAATGTACTGCTGGTCTGTTTCCATTGTATTCTTGAATTCAATATCCGGTATGCTCTGTGTTAATCTATTGTGATCTTGCCACTCACTCTTACTACAAACTGCAATTCTGATTTCTTAACAATGTGTAGCTAACTCCTTCAGTTACATAAACTCACAAGGCAAATAAAGACAGAGATACACACACACATATAGACACAAGTAGAAATGATAAAATGTGCACCTCTAGTTCCTGGTCGTCTGTTCTTGCTTCTCCAGCTTTGCTTCTTGTCGTCTGAAACAACAAACCATATTTGCTGCAGTCAGATTACCCAGACTACTAGGACTACTACACGCATGACAGGTTAAAACCAATGTTCACCTCATTCACATATCTGTGACTTGTATAAATCATACCGTATCCACAAAATGCCCTTTTTGTTAAATATAAAAAGTAAAAGACCCTATTCCATACCTTGAAGTATTTCAAATATATAGATAGTCCCAGAATTTTATATACCAATTACCATCTAAAGTCAATATCAAGCTGGTCATCTTTACTTCTCAGAGACTTTCTTGGTACTCAGTTTCAGGCTAGATCAAACTGGCAACCTTGACCAATTTAAAAACTGGCCTTGGTGGGGATTTGGACACATGTTAATGAGGACAGCAGGCTTACCAAGGCCTTCCAAAATATGTGCCTCTATAATCTCATATCATCCCTGTGTGGGTTCTGGGGCCCCAATGTGGGGAAAACAAGAATAGACCCACTGTCTCACCAACGAGCATGTCATAGGAGTTGACTAATTAGGGACTGCCTTCGAAGTCGGAGTGCCCAAGCAGCAAGGAACAGCCAGCTGCACACAAACAAGCCAGTAAAATGGATGTACATGTAAAACTCAGGCTCAAGTAGGCCATGTGCAGTTTAGGGCGGTTAATCTTAAATATAATAAGACAAGAATATCTTTCTTGCTTTAGCAGAGATTAAAACCGGTATGTCTGTGTATACATGTCTCTGTGCCTGAAGGTGTATGTATATATTTTGATGTGACTGTATCCATGTCTGCATGTTTGTGCTTGGGTATGCATGCATGTACATTTGTATGCAGGTAAGCACATACATTTGTATACACACAGTTGAGCGTCTGGAAGGGCCCAATGTAAGATGGGTTTGCATGCCCAATTTTTGACCTCTATAAAAATACAGTTTGTTAGTTTAATAATCTATGTTTACTGCATATGTGTGGGTATATATGTGTATGCATGCATATTTCTGAGCTTAAATATGTACAGATGTATACATAAAGAAGAATGGTTGGGGGGCTGAATGTAAGATGGGTCTGCAAGCTCAATGTGTGAGCCATTGAAAATAAAGCTTGTTAGTTTTTTTTTAAATCTCTGTTTATTGCATATGTGTGGGTATGTATATTTGCGAGTGTGTGGATACATACATATGTACATATGCAAATTAATAGTAGGAAGCCGAATGAAAGATGGGTCTGCATGCCCAATGAATAAGGTATGTTTGTTCATTCATAGTGAAATGCCAAAAAGGACTCAATGCTCTCCAGATCAACGAAAGACAGGCAGCCATGAATTTCCTGCCACAATATTTCTCCGACAGACCAGCTTGGGCCGGACAACAATCACTACACTGGCAACACTAACGTTGATCAATATGCTGGAGATCATGTTTGGCAAGAGTGCGGTCGCAAAGATTAGAAGAACTCGAGAGGGAGTGACAGCTTCACTAAACAGAACCAACCGCACCTCAGACATGCTGGATGACATCCAACACAGCGGCAAGAAAGAACTCCGACTGTCTGAGGAGATAACTGTGATGGCTACAATCTTCCAGAATGTAAGATGCTGGGTGATCCGAAGAGTCAGCCTTCAATGGAGCAACGAAGAAATACTACAACAAATAAGGAAAGAAAACCCCAGTATCACAATCAACCAAGCAGAGAGACTGGGCTCAAAACTACATCCACTACCAGTAGCAGTGATAACATCAGAAGGAGAAGACATCCCGGATAAAGTTTACTTAAATCAAAGAATGCAAAGACCAGAGCAATACATACCACAGGTGCTCCAGTGCTCTCGCTGTCAAAAAGCCTGGCACTCCCGGGCCACTTGTGTGAGCGAACAAGAAGTATGCCGATACTGTTCAGAACCACATGCCTTCAACAATTGCCCTCTGGCAAAGCTGGACACAGACTTTAGGTCTCCAAATCCGAGCAGGAAGTGCGCAAACTGCTACGGCCAGCACAGCGCCAGATACCTGGGGTGCCCCTATCTGCAACAATGCCGAGACATAGCAACCACGGCCATACGGGAAAAGATTTCATACCATGAGGACCGCAGAAGTCACGAAGCAACAAAAGGCATAACGACAACTATCACCACGAAACTGAGCAACGAGATGGCTCGACTCAAAAGTGACATCCAAGCCCTTAGAGATAAGAAACAAGCATCCAAATCCCAACGAGATGAAGACAGAGATGAAATAACAAGCCTGAGAGTTATCATGCAGGCGACTCTTGACACCCAGAAACGGATGGCAACAGAGATGACGAACTTCAAGGAGGACATCATGAATGCACTCACTACTTTCCAGACACAGAAGGAACAGCCTACTAAAGCAAGGGAAGACGAGACAAGTATCACAGACTTGCGGGAGACCCAACAGCTTCTCATGAAAGAAGTCCCAATGATCAAGAAAGCACTTGCTGAAACAGAGGAAAAGTTGCGCAGAGCATATGAAGAAAACAACAGACTAAGCAAGGAACTACAGGCAACAAACAGAATTATGGATGAAAGAGAGAAAGCACGAAAGGCGGCAGCAAGAAGGCAACAAATACAGTCACCCAAACCTCAGGGGCGCCGAGACCCAGCAAAAAGCCATATCAATTACCAGACAAAAAATACCGACGCCGCTGATGGGGCAGTTTCAGGACGAAACCACATACAAATAAACCAACGCATTTGGGAGCTGGAGGATCTGAAGTACTTTAACACAGAATTGCAAGAGGATGATGTACTATGGTCATCACCAGAAGAACCGATCCGACAGCCAAAGCCTGAAGTTAAACGAGGTCGATACCGTTACCACAAAGGTTAATGCCAGAGACGACACCACCAACGCCAAAACTACCTAAACCCTATGTAGGAGTAGCACTTTCCAACAAGGATACAAGAAGACCACCAAATAACGCCAAACCTCACCATTACTTCCTGCAGTACCTGCCCAAAGCAAGCAACCGCTGGTCCTTCTTAGGATAGGCAATCCCCTCTCCTCGGAAACAGCAAACGGCCAATGAAATTAACACAAAATCGACTCAATACCCAATGATCTGGAGCGCAGCACAGGGCCAGACAAGTTACGAAAGCAGACAATCGAACGGAAACCACAACAAATAGAAAGCGACAAATATTGAACACAATCCAAAACCAAATGAGATCGAGATCAGAAACGTCACCACAAATATAGCAGACAGGAAAGAGAGCAGAAATGTGATCTGACCTAGCTGAAAGTGGTCAATGTAAGAGAATTAGAAAAATTAGAAACTTGAATGGATAGAGAATGAAGCCATGGGATGCACAAGAGATGCCCTGGCAGTATGTATGCGATAAATACTTGCACTGCCTACTATTGCAGATAGGTTCAAAGTTCTGCAAGCAAAGTCATTTCTCAGAGTAGCTGCAGACAAGAGGCACCTCCTGCATGAAGCCCTGGATAGAGCTAAGGGTCACAGACTGAAAAGAGGAAAGTTTTGGATGGTACAAGTTGAAGACACAGTTGGACATGTGTGCAGGAATGATAAATTTAGGCGAGGAGAGGAGAGGGTTAAAGT